GTTGCGAAAATAGCGATTATGCTTGCCCATCTGATAATATTTATGTCTATACAGAGGAGAACAGTGGTATAAGAAGGCATCATGCAAAATTAGAAACTGCGATTCTAGAAAAATTTACTAGAGCTGCAAAACATCGTTCCGCCCATTCGATCTACCATATCTAAAGGCGACACTTCGAACTGAAGGCAATTGTCTGGCACAAAAATAGTTGAATATTTATTTATATAAATTATTTAAACGAGAAAACATTGACGAAGATGAATAAAAATTTTAAAAAAAAATTCGTCATTCTTCGCATGCAATAGAAGCATATCGAAAATAATTTTTTTGAATCGCTTATATAAAATTATAGTTTAAAAAAAATAAATAAATAAAAATAAAATTCGCAACCTTCGATAAAATTGATTGCTACCCAACAGAAAATTAGATGCATTTTAGCAACTTTTTTTTATCAAATTTTTTTACAGGTTTAGGAAATAAACTTCTAGGAAATCGAGCGAAAACTGATTGTAAGGAGGATAAAGCCAATATGCCAATATTAATCGTATTTGCGACATACAAAAACATATTATCGTCGCAAAAAGCCCAAATGTCTTACACTATCTCATGCTTTAGTAAAATTTATGGTACATCTTTCAAATTTCCTTGGCTTTTTTTTTAAATTTTCTGAATTGCCATCTAAAATTAAGACTGCACCTACAATTTTTCGATCACCTCACGAGAAGTATATTAATGGAAATAAAATATATTACCAACAAATTTGATAGTTGACGTTATTCCACTAAAAAATAATCTAAGAATGTTCCTGGATTTGTAATAGTGAAAAATTTATAATCTATATAAACTTAATTATATATACATATAATTAAGTCATTAAAATATTTAAACAAATATAAGCCAAATATGAACAAATCTTCACTTAAAAATTAATATCGCTATATCGTGACTTCGTTATCAAAAGGAATAAAAGGCTCGTGAAAAATGATAGCGCTGAATAAAAAGAAGTTGGTTTTGCTAAATTGTAATTAAAATCTTTGTTTGACATGAATAGAGGACAAAGGTGCAGAATAAGGACAAAAATGGCATTTATCATTGTTTTCAAAATGCTTTATAAAAAAAAGCTGATAAAAAGAACTCTGCTGAATTTCACGGTAAATGCTCGAATAAAAATTCCATTATCAATATCTGACTGACTAATATTTCATAAACTTTATGTATTGTATGAAACTCACCATATGTGTTTTTCTCAACTTTATATAATTCCTTTTAAATTGCTTATTTTGTTTTAGAATAATTTAAATATTAGTCAAACTTCCAGTTTACTGAGTTCAACTTTTGAGAAAAAATAATGATTAGCAATGAAACGTTGAATGAAGCAAAATTTATCTGTAGTTGTTGAAACAGTCTATCAACCTGGTAATCCTGGTAATCCTAAGTTCTGAATAATTTAACCGATCTGCTTCAGCTAAACTAAAATCATGAAATAGCCAATTAATGCTTAAAATATGAAGTGTATCACCGAGATTCAATAGTTTCGCCCATCACTCATTAGGCATTGTACACAGTACTATGACTATAAGAAAATTCGTTTAAATTTTACATCCAGAAAAGTTAGGATTAATTAGGCCCAGCTAATTAATTCTCCTAAAATAACAAATTATAAAATAATAGAATTTGTACTGAACCAATTTATTAAAGTAGAAAAACAAAAATAAAATGGAGAATTTTTTAGAAAAAATGCCTTGAATGTATTTGAGATTTATCAAATGATAATCCTTCCAAATAACTCAACAAACCTGCATAAACTCGAAATCAAATGGACTGTCTGTTCGTAGTTTATCCCTAGGGTTTACATTTTTCGATTTATCTACGCTCTTATTCGATATTTATCCCAGAGCTCAGAAACATTTGAATTTCTTATGCTACCCATATCTTTTTGAATCGATTATTCTCCAACTTTTTCAGAGTTAAGCCTTAAACCATTTGTGAGCATACAAGAGTAATTTCTTTTCGCTTCAAATAATGACGGATTTAAAATTCCGAGCCAATAGATTCATCACTACAGGCTTATCAAAATTGGCTCATTTAATAAATTAAAAAAATTTAAGCAAGTTTCCATAGAAACCAACTGAAATTTAAAATTATTCGTTATCGTAATATCTCTCTCCTTCTCCTAGCTCTCACCATTACTGATTAAGTTGGCTCCGTTGGGGTAAGATAATTTCAAGCTGTTCAGTCTGACGCTATCATTAACAATAATAGTAATAGAAGCTATCCCATGCAATATATTGCTATCCTCATAACATTCACAATTAAGATAAGACATATAATAAGACATTTGAAGGAGGAAGTCCATGTAAATCTTTTCCGATCTGTCTCAACATGTACACAAAAAAAAAAAACTAAAAATGGATATTCGGAGGCTTTTGTTCGCTTTAAATTTTACGATGTCCTACGCTACTTTAAAAAAATCCAATAACGCCATGTTACTTGAAATAAGTTAATAATCAGAATCTACTGTGTTATTTGATCTCTGAGAAAGATTTTAAGCAAACCTGATTGAAAAGGTCAAAAAAAATTTTGGAGAAAAATTTGTGATTGTGAGATTTTGATGTTTTTTTTGAAGGCATAGATTTCAAAGCGCGACATTTGAGGCTCGGAAATCCCGTGCGAATAGTTTTCAGATACTTATCTTTCAAAGATTAGCATTTCAAAGAAAATTTTTACTGCATAAAATATTAAAAGAACAATCGAACAACAGCAAATCCTTCAAAACAAGAAAAAAAAGTATGTAAATAGTAAACATCCAATAAATTTCCCATTTCAATATTTAGCCAAATCAACGATTCAAGTACCAATAAAAACTAAATTGTGTTTTAAATGGTATTTTATTCAACGAATGTTCAGTAAATTTTTAAAAGACATTACAAAATTTGTTGTGTGCCATGAAAATTCAAGCATAATTCAACATTTTACGCCTCATACACAGTAATAAATATTTTGAACAGCAAAGAGATGAGTAATGAGAAATGAGTAATAAGATAAAATGCGTTCATAGATGTTGAACAACTCGATGAACTTTGTATTAAAAAATTTTTCTTCTCATTTACCAAATGGTTTTTGAAATTTCTACTAGATATTCATGAAAATTAGAGCCATATTGAGGCAATCATGGCGAGCATAATGGATTAAGCGACAATCAACTAGCTATTGTCAAAGCAATCCTGAAAATGCATCGAATTATCGCTTCTTCTCAATCAATCGCTGCAATTTCTTGATTTTCTTGATTTCCTTCTTAAAGATAAATTTGAACTCTTCGCATATAAAAATTTATAAATTACATAAATTTCTTATAAATATAACACTCTGATTTTAAAAAAAATTTCAAGCAAATTTCAACTGCAATTGTGACAATTTCTGTATTAATCTATTATTGAAATAATTCGAAAAAATTGAAATCTTTCCAAGAAAATTTTGTAATTAATCAGGCGATTTTGTTAAAAAAATCTCTCAATTTTTTTCAAATTAGACAATTAAATTCGGTTATTTTATGACGAAGATGCAGGTAAGCCGTCAGCACCAAGACTTTTTGAAAGATAGGTCTGTTCCTACGAGGAACGAAACTCCAGCACTACAATCCTGTAATGACAACATCAGCCCCTTGAGCTATTCTGCCCTATATTTTAATTTTATATAATTATATAATCTGCAAATAAACAAATATAAACAAATAAATATTAGAAAATAAATATTACAATAGCATTTACTTATGATTATTTTGTTTGGTGAAGAAATTCGATCAATGTAATTATTAAAATTAGTTACCAATGAACGAAATTCTCTATTCTGACAAAATCGAAATTCTCTATTCTGACAAAAAGATGCAAAAACAGTGGAAAATACCCAAACTTGCATATCCTATGAATGAGTGAAAAGTTGCCGCTGTACGAAATTTGCTTAAAAATCCCTATGAAAGTATTATTTGATTATTGAAAATGAGCACAAATCAATGAACTATGAAAAAGGTCAATGAAAATACGATTTTATCCAATTATCGTTTTATATTCTAAATTCGTTTGATCGTGAGGAACATTTCGTTACTATTCACCATCGTTTATTCTCTCTTATCATATAATTGTCGATATGTTACATAATAGAAAATTTCTTGCTAAAGCATCCTAAATTTTATTGGGGTTCCATTTAATTTTTAAATTCTCTTTCATCGAAAATAAGAAGATGCGATGGAAGATAGGAGTAAAGCTAAATACTATATACGTGATCATTACGTATAAAATTTACTGTTTAAAATTTCAAAATTTATAACCAGGTATGCAGAACAATTATTATTATTATTATTAATGAGTAGAAAACCAAAAGATAAGCGAGAATAAGCCAGCTTAAGAATTCTCAAAAGATCCTCTGGGGATCGATAGAGCACGAGAAGCTGATTAATGGACAAATCAAATATTTATACTTTTTCAGAAATTACAAATTATACTAATGAAAAAATAATGCAGATTCATTTGTGTGTTCCAACATTATTATTTTAATATGTCATTATAATTTATGTTTTCTACATTTTTACAATTTTGTTAGACAAATGTTTTTATATTTATTGTGCATAAGAGAAGACAAACTGGTTTCAAGCAGGTGATTAATCGAGAAAATTTCCATTTTTATGTATGAAACTTTTCTTAAATGAAAATTCCGTAAATTTATTGGATTACTGTTATGAAATTTTCATTAATTCTTATGATATAATATGCGAAATTTTCAAGAATAACGATAATTTTAAAAGCAGTCGATAAGAAAAAATATTTCTCTTACAAGGGGTTGATAAAAGAAAAAGCATGAGAACCTCAGATCTATTCGATTGTAGCTTCTTTTATTTCATTTCAATAAAAATGAATGATTCGTTTATCACTATAATGTTTCAATGCACATGATATAGTTTAGATAAGATTATCATTAATGCCTAATAATCCACTATCATTCAGCATTTACGGCTTAGATTTATGAAGTGGTAAATGAAACACAATGCAAGCAATTGAACCCTTACCACCATCACAATAAAGAGTACTACTTATCACAAATTCAAATTCAGATTCACTACATATAACGTTAACAATACCACCATATTTCTTCTCAACAGCAGCTTGAATTTTTCGTTTTGACTTTGTTGTACTACTTTCATCGATATTCTGTAAATACATATTACAGTTTCTCCTTTTTCGAGCTAATATGACTATAATAGTAGTATAATAAGGGAAAATAGATATAGAAATTGCGCGAATGAAATATGAAAATATTTCGAGTTAAATTTGGCGAAATTTCCTAACTGGACCTTTAACCTAATTGAATTACTCGATTAAATACTCGGTTCTAGAAAAGTTGAATGCTGATTTATGGCCATAAATTATTCTTTTGAAACCATTGTGGTTTGTAATCATATTATTCTAACCATATAGCTGAAAAGCTTATTCAGTCAAATTTAATAAATTTTTTGCTTATGCCCTCACAATCAAGCGTTCTCGTAAAAATAATTGATTGTAAGGAAACGTTACTATTAGTGAAAAAAAGTTTGATAAATAGATGCAAAAACGTATCCTATAGTATGCTTTTCTGCTATTTGAAATTACTTATCAAATCCACTGATGATAATAATCTTATATCATATGTTCAAATTTTATATTTAAGTAGAAATGTTAAAATATAGTTCAATTTTAGCTGAGAATGGGAACAACTGAAATACAATTAAATTCAGAGAGTTCCCGTGTAAGCAACCATATATGACTGACTATTAAATGGTCCCAGTTTAATATTCAGGGAATCCAGGGATCCATGCAAATAAGGAATGTTGAGTGCTATCATACCTATCAGAAGAAAAATTAATGATTAAGAGGTAGTTATCACGTAATATGAATAACTATCAACGAAATCACCGTGTGATGTGATAATCAGTTGAAATAATGAAATAAATAAGCAAATAATTCAGAATAAATGAAAATAATGAAATTAAAAAATGACTACCGCTTCAATGATCTCCCTTAATTGAATATCATTACAATTGTTTTGTTCTTTAACGTCATTTTCGTTATTTTTCTCGTTTGTATCAACTTCGCTTAGCGACGATTCATTCCCAACGGAATCCAACTGATTTAACTGTAGATAATTTTTAATTGTATTTTATTAAAAAGATAATTTTTTATAAAATCCGAAAAAAATTTCTTACTTCAGTTATGATAAAATGTTGTTCAGTCGCATTGTTATCCATGAATGATAAGGCGGTTTCATTTATTTCTTGGCCATCATTTAATAATTCATCGATGAGATTAGCAGAATGCGTTGAATTTATAACTGAAATTAAAATTAAAATTATAAATGAATAAGTAAAAATTTATAAAAGAATTAATTTTTTCAACTGAAATAGATATAGTTTTTTAAATCGCCTAAATTAATTTTCATTTTAACTTGGCCAATTTACCATTCTCGTTTTGCGCATAAATTAGAATACAAATAGATAATAGTGGTAGAAATAAAGAGAAAGACGGCATTATTTTTCACGCGAGACCCAACAACGCACTTCACGGATTAATATATAAAACCATCGTCACTAGTTTTCCATTAATTCCTTTAAAGGCTACAATCTAATTACAGAAAAAAAAAGGAATAATCGGATTATGTATCATTAAATAGGACAATTTTATCACAGCGACATTCTTTATTCGAAAATTCAATATTTTTGACATTTCATTTGATCTAAATTAACGAAATAGAAATATAAAAAAATTTGGTATCAATTTATTATCAATTTATCAATAAAGATTGATGGCAATAAACTTATTTTTTATAGCTTCTTCCTATATTTTTTTCAATTTTGAGGACTCACTTTGACTCATTTTGTTGTCGCCAATTGTTTTTTTTTAGCAAAATTTGTCTGATTCGACATATCAATGCAACGAATCTAATCAACAAATGATGAACGTTTATAGAAAGAAAGAAAAAATGATAAAAGTGATAAAATGCGATCACCGTTCGTAATTTTTTTTTTTCTCAATGAAAAGCTATTGGTTGCAAAAATATGACCAATACGGTAAATGTTCTTTATTTGAATAAAATTACCTAAAATTCGACACTTCAATAATTTTCAATACAAAAAAAAGGTGGAATTCTCTTCTGCTTAAATTCATCTCTTTTTTCTTACTCCACAATATTAAACCGGAATTTTATAGAAAGTCGAAAACTATTGATAAATATATGTATTTATCAATAGTTATATATCAATATATTTATCAAAATATATGTATTTCGACAGTTTTATGATTGTGTTCCATTGTTCCATTGCTTTATTTATTACCAATTCAAATTCGCATTAACACAATTTTTCAAAATTATCTCAAAGGCCTACGGAATATGAGAAAAGAAATTATATTTCTTCGAACTTTTTTTTTCAAAACTCAAATTATTTTATCAATTTTTGTCGATTATTTTCAATATTTGCCCTATTTTATTATTTTTCTTACCATTTCATTTTATATTAGAAAAATACGAATTTAGTAATTAAAAATTTTGCATTGTACAAATTGTACGAATTTAGTAATTAAAATAGCGAATCGTAAAAATCAATACAATATTTACCTATAATTGCCCGATAAAAATGATATGATAAAAATTTTGCCTTCATTGCCGAACAAATCCACTTGTAAAAGAATGAATTTAAAATTTCGCATATTCAAATTTCTTAAACTAATAAAACATCTGACAGAACATAATGAAGAGAATAATTTTTAGAGGAAGAAAATGCCACAAATCCTTACCGCATTCGATACGAAATCCGGAATTAAACGATATACTCCTTGCATCGCCTAAATCTAATATTATCGCCGAGAAAACCTCTTCTAACAAATAGAATCTTCACTTACGTCTTCACTGAACCTTCGCACCCTTCACAACATCATTTTTCACCGGAAATTTTTGCGTCTTATACGACACGACGTTCATTTCGGAAATGAACGAAAAATTCTTCTCACTGACTTCTTCTTCAACTATTGCTTTTAAACAGCTACCATTTTATAGTTCAAATAATGAAAAATCTTTTCGTAATCAATGTCGGCGAAAAAAAAAAAAATTAGATAATAATCAAATTCAATTCATTTTTAACCAAAAAAATTTATTTTAAAAAAAGAATTAAATCAGTGTTATTTTTGAAATCGAAACATGATAAATATATGTGCAATTAGAATGAATGAAAATTGGTTTTCAAATCACATTCATTCATTGTTTTATAGATAGAAAACCAATTATCGCAATTTTTTAAATAAAGCATAAAATAAAAATAATAAAATTGAAGAAAAAAAATTGAAAAAATTGATTAAATAGAATGAAAGCTAATCTAAAAAATTTTTGATTTGGAAAATTTTTTGAAAAAATTTTTTTTCCAAGAAATTTGTCACAAATAATAATGATAATAATAATAATCTACGAATTATAAAATAGGTGAAAAACTTTTAAAAACTACTTTTAAAACTTATAAAAGTCAGAAAAACAATCACCCACAAATCATTTTTTTTTATTTTTTTTTGTGCATAAAATTTTCTGACGATGCTAAATATTACAATATTCATTAAGGATTTATAATTTTTTATCTATTACAGCAGAATTACCGCCTATAAATTGAAAATAAACTTATTAGCGCAACCGAAATAAAAAAATAATCACAAACTGAAAAAATTAAAATCACATTTCATCAAAAATGACTTTATAAGAATAAAACTGGTAGTAAAATAAATTGATAGCAAAACCGACTAATACAGCTTACAAATGTTTTCAACAAATAAAACGAAGGAAGCCCGACAAGAAAAGATTTATCACAAAAATGAACTTCGATAAAAAACCGTCAAGGATAGAGTCAATCAAGAAGTCCGCCACCGGAAGATGAAGGTTAGTCTATTTATTTTCTTTCTACATTAAACGGGAAATTATCGTTTTATACATATTTGTGCATAAATTCTCTTGACGCTTCATGTTTGTTTTTTTAAGAAAATACGCCCGAAGGAAAAATTGACAGATCCTAATTAATTAATTAATTATGAAGCAATCGAAAAAGAATAAAATAAGGGAAATATTCAATTATCCAAACCGGAAAGACAGAAAGCTGATTTCTCATTTGATAAAACTGAATGCCCAGAATATAATCTTAAAAAGATGTGTGTCACTGATAGAAGTATCAATTATTAATAAAGACATCAATCATTAATGAGCAAATAATAGGCCTAAACATCACGTTAAAAAGTTGGCGAAAACTGAAAATTAACCCTTAAACTCGATTTAAATAAGTGTACCATAAGAGGAAGGGTGCTTCTTGCTGAAGTTAGGATATAAAAGACAAAGCAATCAGTAAATGAAAAGAAACCGAGTGAAAACAAACCAATAAATAGTTGCCTACCAACGCTTAATCTATATGGGCCTAGCACGATTCAGTGCCAACAAATTTACCGAAAAAATTAAGAATTCAAGGGGAGTCCAATGATCGGAAAATCGCCATTCATTAAATTTCTTTTTAGAAATTTTTATCATAACAGAAAACAACTATGATTGCGTTTCTCGAAAGCAATTCGAGAATGCTTTTACATCACAATTCAAAAAGTACCGAAGACGTAAACACAAATTGACCACAGCCATAAAAGGGGAAGTAGAATTCAACAAATTGAGAGGCAGCTTTGGTTTCATAGATTTAATTCTTGTGCTATCTTCGATGCTATATTTTTGAATCCTATCGATGTTCCAGATATTCGCTTGAACCTCACACCATTCAGACTAAGCCGGGGCAGTTTGCAAACCTATAATATAACAAATAACAAAATTAAAAAAATAAAAAACTGAAGAAATATAGAAAAACAAAAAAAAAGCAAAAAACGGAGAAAAAAGCAGAGTAAAACAGAGAATGAGACAAAAAGGTGCCAATCTTTATCTATACGAAACACTCTCTTCATAACAACATAGAAGAAATCATTAGCACTATTTTAAAATATATTGGCAGCAAGAATTTATCTACAGATGAACGCCGAATAAAATATTTTTGCAATATATAGAGATGGATGATATTTAGACCTAGTAATGCTCAATAATACTACAGGCTCACTGACTTTAAAACATGTTTTTTAAATCGTCTTCTTCTTAAGCTCTTCTTCTAACCATTACTGGTTGGGCTAGCTCCACTGGCTACAGGGGTAAGACGTTTCCAATTTGATGCCATCGTCGACAGCAATATAAGCCATTCGTCGTCATCGTCTAAGTCCACATATTGCTGGGTTTTTTTTAATATAAAAAGTTAACTAATTATTTATTGAAAAAAAATGGTGGATATTAAAGACAATAAGCTACTCTAAATAAAAGCTAATACCTCCATTTCCCATTGCACAAGAGAATCTGTATTCGGATCGCCATGAACACATAACAACAAATAACGCTCTCGTTGCTCGTAATCGCAATTATTTTGATCAAGAACTTTGCGAATCTCCCTATAAACATTTATAATTGAAAAAATTATGAAACCGAAATAATATGTCAAAGATACTAAATTTCCAAAAAATATATAATGCTCAAGGTGAATACTAAGTCAGTAATTATTCAGATAAAAAAAATTGAAAAATAAGAGAAATTTCTGCATCATCTTTATATATCCGTACTTTCACTAGAGTTCTAGGATGAGATGAAGATAAAAAAAGTTTTGAGAATGGAATCTTAAGGAGAGAAACCAACCTCATCATTTCTTCTGGAGCAAGTGAACTGGTTGTTTTCATACTCCAAGTGAACCTTAAAGATCGAGGTTTGACTTCATCACTGCCACCAGTCGCACCACCACAGGTCGTCGTTGTAACTGTGGGTACTGGGTTGAAACCGACATGGAAATGATGTTGTGGTCCACTATTCCCCGTAACAGCGTTAGCGGGAGATGTGGCAAAGGCTGTAGATCCCGGTTTGCGTCCACCCGATGGCGTTAAAATCTCAGGTGATGTCAATGGAGCAGGCGTTGTCACTGCAGACCCTTCCGCTATACCCATTATCGGTGTCCTGCCAGCAGACACATGTTAACCAATTGTTGCAAGTAACAAATAATTTCCTTCTACAGGTTGTAAGGATAATGCAAAAGAGACATGAGAAACATACCGATGATGGTTTCCACTAATAATGCTGCGACTTACTGCAGTTGTTCCGCTAGTCGTAGTGGTAATTGATGGACTAAACACTGACTCAATTCAATTCAAAATATGCAATGGGTTTAGTAAAATAACGATAGATGCCATGATTTTAAAGATATTTGCAAGTGACAGAAAAAGACGGTGATTTTAAAAGGAAAAACAATGAATTGAAATTGTTTATAAACCTGATAATATAGATTTGGGAAGAGAAGATTAGAAAAATGGATTAATTTATTGTAAAATAACTTTGCTTAATCATAAATTAACTGAAATTATTATCATTATTTTTTCAAATTATTTGATTAAAATATTGGTGCTTCTCTACAATTTGATTAGAACTGAAGTACTATCCTTCGATACATTATTTCATTTAAATGAAATATTCATTCTGACACTTCCCTAAAATATGGCTATGGAAAAACACGGTAAACAATTTTCTAATAACAATGTTCAAAGTTCTAAACAATATTACCGCTTTAAATACCAATACCATAGCCTATTTTAGAAAGATTTTCCCCCAAAAAGTAAATAAGCTAGTGCAATAAGATTGCAAAAACAAAAAAAAAAGCAAAAAAAGTCATTAATGACGCTGTAAAAATAAGGAACTGATTTGAAACATAAAGCTTGAAACTTATTTTCGGCTCAGAGAAAATAAATATTTTCTCGATTTTGGTATACCACCCACATATCTCGCAAATAATTTAAATATAGCATTCGCTTACTTTTTTTTGAAAACCAACCATGAAAGGAGATAATACAACTTAAAGTTAGCCTATAAGCCAAAAATATAATAATGTAAAAAGATAACTAGCGAATAAACCAGAAATTGTAATTAATATCATGTAACTTCAAAGAAGCAGCATACGTCTCCCTTAAAACCAATCAACAAAAAAAGTTTCGAAGACACTTCATTCCACTAAGCCATCCGTCGTATACTACGGTACTACTACTTTTAAGGCGGAGCTCCCAATACAATTAAAATATCCCACGAAGTATCACTTTATCACTTGATCACAGTTATGGCATACCAAAGAAAGAATCAATACTAATCTAACAATACTACATATTCTCTAGAAATCATTCAAGGCAATGAGAAAAAGGTTTAGTGATTCTGAGGCCACCCTTCCGAAAATAACTCTAATATTAAGTTCTATTCAAGACATGGAAAGCAGACATGATGAAAAAAAGGATGATGACTGGATTTTGCAATAACTCTAAGCCTAATAACAAATAAATTTTGCAAAAATCTGGAAGAAGGGGAGAAGAAACCTTAATCTATTATAGCTATACTTCAATGACAAACAATGTGCCTATTTTTGCACATATTTTAGCGCTTACGAGATATTAAAGAATTGGGAGATAAAAATGAAATGATTTAATCGGATGCAACAAAGCGAAAAGATTTTCAGCAAATAATTCAAAGACGAGGAAATATTTAGTGAAAACCATCACCATGACCAGAGTGAAATAAAAATATGTGCTGAAGCTTGTTAGAAAGGTGTCAAATATAGGTTTCATCTTTTCTCATACTCGAAGCTTTTCAACAATGAAAAAAAAAACTTTCTATTCGAATATATTTGAGAAAAAGCGAAACCAATATAAAACCATATCACATCTGCCATATAATTCAATAAAAAGTGAAAAAAGTGAGCAATTCAACAAAATGCATATCTCAAGGGTTTCAATTTACCTAATAGATAAATAGCACAACTCGGAAATCACGCCTATGGAATCCAAAAAGTTAAGACGAAAAAATACCAAAAGGAAATACAGGCACTAAAGGAAATGCAGGTCAAAAAATAAAACCCCGATGTTTGAGAAAATTCCCGATATCTGTCCATATGCAAGGGATCTAAACTGTTCACTAAGTCTAAATCTGAATTAACACTCATTTTTCCATAAAAGAACCTACCGGCGAGTAAGCTTTGTCAACTTGGATAGAAACGATCCACGAGGACCTCCACCTCCAGCAGAAGCTACTCCTGTATGTACTGTTTCAGCTTCCGTATCATCTTCATCAGTATTTACCTAAAAATCTTGTCCAGAAAGTCGTGCAAAACACTTTACACTTGAAAATGTTTCAGGATTTTTCTCATTCTATCTTATAACAAGAAGGTAAATTTTAATTTTCATTCCAAATATTCTTGTCTTAAAGCTTTCAAACAGATCTTTTTCATGAAAAAAGCCACAGTAACAAGACCACATATATATACGGGATCAAGACAAAAAATAAGGCTGTTTTTTCACCTTATTATGTTCCGTTTTACCATGAAATGTCTGTCGACTTCGGGTATGACGGGGAAAAGCCGGGTTTTGCAAAACTGTTGGCAAATTCGAATACCCTATTGCACCCAACTGTGGTTGACCTGATCCGACAGTCTGCAATCAAAATTAAATGAATTTATAACCGAAAAAACTCAACCTTTCATATATCAGCGCCCAAATTTATAAACACTCTATAGCATTTGTCTTATTTATAGAAATAGAAAAATAATTTTGAAAATTCAGAAACATCAATTATCAGTAAAAGTCATATAAAGGGAAGATTTTTTTAGCAACCAACAAGAGGACAATAACTCGTCTTATCTTTCAAAATGAATGATTGTAGATAGCATCATGCACAGCATACCGTTTGAGGAGTAATAAGAACATTTCCAGTAGCTGATTTAGTCAGTTTTGGGCTTTCACTTCGGGATTCTTGCGAAGAGGACTCATTGGTCGACATATTCTTCATGGTAATCGGAGGCATGGATGGACTCGTATGCATGGAAGGTCTATAAAATGTCAAACTGTTAAATTTAATGATAATTTTAATTACAGCATCTACATAATTTTTACATAAATGTTTGTTAGTCTTTAAAATAAAAGCGTTTATTTTTCAGCACCACAAACTATTTCTGAAAATCAAAGTAAATATTCAATAACCCTATGAACCAGAAGGTGTGATGACCTACAGATGCGGCATAATTTGTACAAATGTTGTAGAATATTATAGGAAAGAATAAAAAAGTTCTTGAGAAAATCTTTTGAAAATTACCAGATGTACCACTGACATATAGCAGTTAATCTAAATCATAATCCAGTGGGCTTAAAATTGCGGAAAAATTTTGCCAATGATTAACGAGATAAAAAGCTGCCTATGACTACAATTCGTATTAGATTCCAATAGCGCTAATCTCATTTATAACTAATTTAATACTGAAAAAATATAATCAATCCGCAATAATCAAAAACAAAGAGAAATGAGCATAAACACCAAGGAGAAATTAGTGGTTCGCAACAATATTCCTATTCCAATAAATAAATTTTAAAATGAATAATATTGAAAATAAGCACTGAGACATTTCTGGCCAAGACAGTAGCATAATGCACAAAAATCTTAAAATATATTAAAAACACCTATTGAAAAAACCATGCAAGATAAACAAGAAAAAAATTTTGAAAAGATGAAAAAAGTTACAAAAACGCAATGCATTAACTTTATGAAAGTGAAAATGATTGTTTAATTTAAATTTATAAATTTCTACTAAACAAAAGGAAATATCCCATAAAGAAATCATTAAGAGAAAGTAAATCGTAAAATCGTTAATATATGAGAGAAAATGTCACTTTGCATCTATTTTCAGTTCCGATTGTTGTACAATATCAGTTGTTGTTGACTGATTAACTGTATTGCCATTACCACCATCGTCGGATAAGCACGTTACTTCTTGAGCAGAAACATCATCAGTAATGCTTGAATCCACATTTTCATTATCATCTTCTTTTATTACAGGCTCTGTTGGAGGAGCAGAGATTGATCCACTCTTCTGCAAAACAAAAATTAAAAATTTATTAAAATTAGAAATCATAAGTAACGAAAAATTTGTACATATCTAAAATTTGTATATAAATACCTGCAGCTGTGCAGCACCCGCACTAATATTAGATAGAACAGCCTGGGGCTTTTGATGGGTTCCGAGATGTACAGAAGGGTTAACGACAAGAGAAAAAGTTGGTAATCCTCGAGCTGACGTTGAACCATTGTTGCCTGTCGGTGATTTCGGCCTCAAATATTAGATCATAAATAATCTTCGAAACAAAAACATACATTAGAAAATAAACCAAAGGACTAGCAAGACAAAAAAAATCCAAAAACATCATTAGATATAAAGAAATCTACTTTACTCCTACTTCTTAAATCTACTTTAGTAGAAGATAAAAATTATAACAAGATAACAAGCAACAAATCTGATACGATACAGAAACACAAAACTAAAATAAAGAAAGGCTTACTCCGCATTAGGATAAACATATCGCTGAGGACCAGTCATAGCACTTGATCGAACTCCTAAATTTGCTAACGGAACTCTACCAGGTATAGATGCTTTACGAGTACCAGCCACACCAACTGAACCTCCCCTTGGTGTTGCTCCAATAACAGGCATTACACTTTGTGGGTAGCCCGGCACTAAAAAACGATTATTTTAAAATGCGAAAATAGAATTAAGTAGAAAATAGAAGCTAAAAATAGAACTTAAATCGTAATTTATTTAATGTTTATCTGAAAACTTTATAAAGAATTTAATTTCAGAAATGAAAAAACGCTTATTTGAAAAAAGATGTAATTATCGAAGAAATGAGTAAATTCATAAAACAATGCAAACATACTTATATGTCCGGGCTGCATACTAAAGGCTTGTCTCGTATTCGATTGTCCGACACCATGACGAAGAGCAACCTGAGTAATTCCTGAATTTCTCGTTGCATTAGAATTATTTCCGCCAGAGTCAACAGCATTCGTCGCCGGAGGTGACAATACAGCGATCGCAGCCTGCATTTGTGGATCTTGTGAGCTTCTTCGTGATGTTTTGTTTGAGGGAACTTGCGCGGACATTGATCGTAGACCATATTTAGGCTGAAAAATTGCAGCTATTCATGAAAAATTTTTTCCAATTAATCAATAATTTCCCTAATGTTTGTACGAACAGTTATCAATAATCATGGCATAGCTTTTAGTTCCTTACGGAATGCGTAGAATGAGAATGTTGAGCTTGGCTCTGTGTTATCCCATGAGGAACAGCTGATACGTTTTGCGTGGAAACAGGAGCAACGGGAATATTAAGCGTTGCTTCAGAGTCCAACTGAATAATTTTTTTTTAAATTAAATCCGAAAATTCTGTGGAAAAAGCTTATCACATTTAGTTTTTCATAATTTTCAAATAAAGAACTTATGCGAATAGTAAAAAAATAAAAAAATTTTGAAAAACAAATAGCACAACTTGAAGCACACCTCATGTTTTTGTTCTCCCAGTAAAATATAAAGCGCATGAATATCATCGAAAGTTCCTTGCTCCAGTGAACTCATTATTGCATTTCGACTATATCCCATTTGTTGCATTAACTCGATTCGTTTTTCATCCTTCATATCTTTCTTAGGTTCGCCAAAAGGTTTTAGTTCATCGTCTTCATATCCAATATTCATCCATCTGAACTTTAAATGAATAACAGGAAATCAACTACCAAAAAAAATTTGTTCCTTATCCTTTTACGAATCGATATTATCGTTCTTCATGGCCTCAAGATTTTTTCTTAGAAAGATTGTGCGAATTTGTAGGAAAAGGGCCAGAAAGCCAGATGAAATAAAGACCTTATTTACGACATATTAAGAATTAAGAATTATAAAAATACCCACCTATCTTTCATTATAGCTTCGAGAGTACCCCTTCTCGCAGGATTCAATACCAAAAATTTTTTTAAGAGGTTCTCACAGTCAGTGGACATATAAAAGGGAATACGATATTTCCCTCGCAATACGCGCTCGCGTAGCTCCTGAATTTAAAAAAAATTTAAAGCAATGTTATTAAATGGAATATAACTTTTTTATCTGAATATTTTAGCAGAAAGCCAAAAATAATCGTAACAAATATGTCTGGAACTTAACAAATTTAACATAAATTAAATTTTTTATATAACAAACCTTCAGATTTTGTCCGTCAAAAGGCAGGCTACCTGATACAAGCGTATATAATATCACTCCCAAACTCCACACATCTACTTCAGGACCATCATATTTCTTACCCTGGAATAATTCAGGAGCAGCATAGGGCGGACTTCCGCAAAAAGTGTCCAATTTATTGCCTTAAAAAAATTGAAGTGAAATGCTTATACTGCAATATTCAATAGAAATTATGTGCAAAAAATTATTCAGAAACAGCTATAAGAAATAAATGATATAATCTTTAAGATATTCCAGATATATGACTAAAAATATTTTGAAAAAAATCAAAAAACAGTATTACCAACCTACAACGAACTGATTACTGAAACCGAAATCGGCAATCTTGATATTCATATCTGCATCCAGAAGAAGATTTTCCGCCTGAAATCAACTAACTCGATTCTCAAAATAGGAAAAAATATAGAAAAAATGATAAGAAACGAATACAATCAAAAAAAGCATAAAGAAAAGAAGAAATGATATTATCAGTATAAAATATTACTTATCAGCATAAATATTCGAAGATGAAAAATGGTTGACCTTAAGATCTCTATGTATAATGTTTTTTTGGTGAAGATATTGTACTGCAGAAACAATCTGACGAAATTTGGCACGAGCCTCTTTTTCCTTCATACGACCATGTGCCACAAGATAATCGAATACCTATAAATTTCATTTGTCCAACAAAAAATATAAGAGATGTAGTATGGTTGCACAATGGTTGATTTGGTTAACAAATGATCTCAAAAATAATTTTAACACAATTTACTCGCCTTGAAATCTTATATTAAAACAAATTTAAGGATGTATTACGCTAATCTTTCTTTTGATAATAATTACAAAAATTAATAAAAACTGAAATAAAAACGTGATTAATAAAAACTGAAACTTTTTAATAACAAAGTAATATGCAATATGAAGCCTTTATTCTTTCATCAATACTTTGAATGTAAAGTGTAATGTTTACCTCACCGCCACTTGCATATTCCATTACGAGATATAACGTTTGATCTGTTTCCATTACTTGATAAAGTTTCACTACAATTATTAATAAATATGAAATTTCCATAAATAATAAATTGAAATTCCTTAAATTCAAGAAAAAAAATAAAATCGTCAAACTCGAATTCCACTTGATTCTGACTTTTTTCGCTTAAAAAATTGATTGCCCTCACGTAATTTTAAGAATTCTTACCGATATTTGGATGATCCAATTGTTTCATTATTTTCACTTCGCGAAAAAGCTGAAATGCAATTTTCATATCAGTTTATACAAGGTAAACGTATTGCAACGTATAGTATTAAACCTATTATATTCGTACATTATTTTACATTATTAAATATTAAAGCAATAAACTATGAAAAGTACCATAAATTGAAAACTAGTCTCACCATTCAGAAAAAAATGAAAAACCTACAGTTAAAAAAATTACCTCCTATAAGAATTACGGGAAGATTCAATTTGAAAAAGCAAAGGAGTTTGTGCAAAACTTGTATTAGTGTTTTATCCAATTCATCAGTGACTTTTATGTATTATGTATATATTATATGTACCCTATTAATTCATGTATACAACAAAAGGTTTAACCGATGCGATAAAGTTTTTCCACTTTATCCAAAAATAACGAGAAACAACTTTTTTCTAAGAAAAGTCATTGAGCAAATAAGTTTAGGAGATTGGTGTATTTCCATCCTGGTTTTTAATAATGATTATAAATTGCCAGACCTTATGCAGACTGCTAGGATTTAGAGCCGATTTGTCGATTATTTTGATAGCAACTTCAATCCCTGTTGTCATATGTCTAGCAAGCTTCACCTAAGAATTAAATAATTTTAATTATTTATATTCAACAATATATAAAAAAATGAGAAATAATAGTCAAAGAATACAAATTTCAATCGATCATAACACAAAAATTATATGAAATACCACTGTATAAAAAATATATACCTTCGCAAAATTCCCTTTTCCTATTGTCTTCAGCAATTTGTATTTTCCTATGTGAGGATCGTCAGTAGTTCGTGATCTTCCTTGTACCCTTGAAGAGGATAATGTCGATCGATGACTCCCATGACTTTGTCCACCAGAGTTATGATGTGTTGAGCTGGAACTAAAAATTAAAATTTACAAAAATTAATCAAACTGGATACAATAATACAATCAATAATATAATAAGGAACTGAAATAAACGATTCATATTGGTAATCAACGAAATGAGCGAATTTCCTCACCAATAAATCAATCCAATTTCTGTACACGAAGAAAATCCCTTACATTCTTTATAGAACTCTACAACAGAGAATTTGTTAAACCAAAGAATAAGGGAAATGAAAGCATATTAAGGAACGAACCTAGGATGGGCTCCATGATGCGATGGTTGTGCGCTATTAAAATGAGTTACACCAATAGGATTGGTATGATGATGTGCACTTGATGAAGGACCAGTCATCGCAGTATGTTGCTGTACAGTCGTTGTCGCCATACGAAGAACTCCTTTTGTTGGAGTTTGTTGCGGAATTGCCCGTGTGGGACTATATTTCTAAAATTACGCGTAAACTTCTAATCAACAATCCAGTGAATGTTGTGTTAACCAAATTTCAACAATAATAACCTGTTGTGCTGATTTACTAGATTTATTTGCGGATTGCTGTGATGATTGAGCAGATGATTTTAGAGAAACCTTTGGTGCTTCAATAAGTATTTTTCCCTGAGGAGACGATTTCGAAGTCTCACTGGATATTTTCGCCTGCGTTGGCTTCGAGCAATCAATTACAGCTGTTACGCCTTCAATTTTATTTTGTTGACTTATTGCAAGAGGACTGTCTTTAACATTTTGTTCCTGAAATTCATTTTATCATAAAAAATCAAAAAACAAGTGTATATAAATATATAAATATATATACAAAAAATTGGTGATGAGCGAAAAAAAAAGGAAAAGATTAACAAAAAGCTAAGAATGAATAATCACAACAGTTTGTCGATTCATTTTAGCATCGTCATTTTCACGAATAAAAAAATTGTTAGAAAAGGACTTTAAAAGCATATTTTGATATATTATAGGAAAGATTCCTTTGAATATTTCATCCTTTTTTTAAATTTTAGTGCAGATATCACCGAAGGAATAAAAATGAGATCTTATGGTGAAAAAAACGAAAAAAAAATCAAAAAAGGCGCTCCTCGAAGACGATGAATTGATTCATTCAATCGATAAATGTTTGAGAAACTGGTCTCGATTAAGGTCGTTTCAATTGCTACTCAAGATGAGAAAAAGAGTTTATATAAATAAAATTTATCGCGTACAATTCATTCATTATACAGCTTGTTCCTACGCTGGTCAAACATTTCTACTAATTGTTTTTTAAGTCAAAAAATGCAGGAATATTATGGAAAAACTCTTGATTTTTGCATACGTCAAAATAATCTCCAACATTACGAAAAAATATCATTAAATGACCACTTAAAAAAAAATCCATCAAATCTGACTCTTTTTCTAAAGAATGAGAATAATTGCAGAATTCGAAACTATTATCTATGAGCCCATCGCTCGATTTCTTATCCAATGAAAGTTTAGGCTAAACCTATAAACGCTAACCCTTGATTCCAATAAATGCTTGGTTTTTGAGATCTTAGGTATCATTTGGTCTTTCTTCACTTGATCTTTCGACATTTTGCACCAAATGTTCCTCCTAAAGTAACCGACTAGTAGATTATTTAAAAAAAAAAACTGTAAACGAACGTATCTCATCGAAGACAACAACTGATATTTATTAACATGGTTCGTTAATGAATTAACAAGAAATATTACAAATCATTATAAAATAAAACTTTTGACGCTATTGACAAACGATTAATAATAATAAATTACAAGAAAAAAAAAAAAAAAAATTCGGAAATGCCTTAAAATTTAGATGAAATTAACATAAAAAAAAAGAATTTTAATAAAATTCGAATTTTGTAAAAATTCAACATTAATATTTCAAAAGCGAAAAAAAAGATTTGAAACGATGGGATTTTTAGAGAATTTTCTAAAAAAATTTTTTCAAAAATCTACAAAATAATTAAATATTCCAAAAATTTAAGAAAATAATTTCTAAAATTTTAATAAATTAAAAATAAAAAATACTTAAAAAAATTAAAGAAAAATTAAAGAATCAATAAAAAAAAATTTTTTTCGATTTAAATGAGAAAAATTCGATCTTTTAAAAAATATTCTCTATAAATTTTATAAATTTTTCACTAATTTTATTTCGACAAAAATGCAAAAAAACAATCAAATAATTCTTTTTTTTTTTAAAAAAAATTGCAGAAACCTCAACGAAACATTTCTAAAAAACGCTGACACGTGTTTGAAATATGCCCATGAAAAATTAGATACCTATCAGTTATGTTTGGACGAATTTTCGGTCGGCCACCGAAACCGACAAATAGTAAACTCACCTACATTTAGCAATCGTTTTCATCAATAAATTTTTTGAATAAAAGTTGAATTTCGCGATAACTATTGAAAAGAAGCGAAAACTTTTTCCAAGGGGGATTTTTTTCCGAATTGCAAAAGTTTTCAAACTAAATTGCTTTACGAGAAAAAGAAAAAGCGATTTAATTATTATGGAAAAATTATAATTTATATTGTAAATTTTCAAAAACAAAAATCACAAAAAAACGAAAGAAAAATGAAAATATAATTTTTTATTCTTTTTTTTGAATAAAAAATTTTTAATATTTAAACAAAATAAACAAAAAAATCTTTTTTAGATTGATTTTTTAAAATTTATAAATGAAATATATCGCGGAAAATTTCAATGAAAATTGAAATAATTGGTGCCAATTTGTGTCACAAAATTTCAGTTATAAACACGTTTGCAATAAATAAATAATAAATAATTATATTCGATTTTAATAATTTCGTTCGCATTTAATATATTCTTATCGATAAAATAAGTAAAAAAAAAACATTTTGATAAATTTTGATAATTCAAATTTGATAAATATAATATAAGTTTTTTATTTGAATAAATAAATTTTTTAAAATTTTCTATTTTATTTTTATTGATGAAATTAGTGGTGGATAATATAGTCGAGTGATGTACTATTTAGATTACCGTTACAAGCGTAATTACTTAGTGTTATTCTTGTAAAATGCAAAAAAATTTTCGAAAATGCCCTATGTAACTCGGCTGAATTTCTATTCCAAAATAGTTTAAAGTCGTATTTTATTGAAAAATATTAAATGAACTTAAAAAAGAAATGGTAAATAATTATTATGTAACCTAAAAAATTATCGATAATATGTGGCAATTTTTATCAAAAAAAAAAGCTTTAAAAATTTGAAAAAAAAAAGTATTTTTCAAGGAAAATTTAAAGTTTAAAAAAAAGAAAATATTTTTGATTATCATTTGATTATTTTTGATTACTAAAATTTAAAGATTATCACACGTTACCTAAAGAAAATTAAATTACTAATTACTAAAAATTACTAAAAAAAAAACCAAATTTTTTTTTTTATGTCGACAAAAAAAATGAAAACAGAGAAGGAAAAGAAAAGGAAAAAAAGCCGATAATTGGAAAGAAAAATACGAATGAGAAAAGGAAAGAAAGAAAAGAGAGGAAAAGAAGAAATGAAAATGGTTACTATTTGTTTCTACCATAATTACCTATTATTGTTATCCTTATTGCTATTATTATTTATTATTGTTATTTGTTATTACCATTTATTGTCAACATTATTTATTATTTATTATTATTACTATTGCTATTATTGCTATTAACTATAAATATTTTTATTATTCTTAATTTATTATTATTATTATATTAAATGAAAAATTAAATGTTTTCACTGAAAATTTTTAAACGGGAAATTTAAAAAAAACAATAATTAGAAAAATTTAAAAAAGAAGAAAAACAACTGAAAAGCAACATATATTAAATGAAATTAAATGAAAAGTATTTCTATAAATAAATTTTTTCAAAAAATGAATAGTCGTATTGTAAAAAATATAAAATTTATTTAATATTTAATATTTAAATAAATTTTATAATTTTTTTATATTGCCTTCACTGAAATAAAACAAGAGAAACTCCAGTGCGGCATATCTTGATGAAAACAACTTATGATAAAATAGCCCATTTTCATTTCTCTCTAATTTCAGGTTTTACTCCCTCCTGAAATAGTTTTTTTCAGCTATTAGAAAAATAAAAACACGCGCTAATCGAATTTCTTTAAAAAAAGAACTATCAATGAAGGTTTTCGAAAACCTTTCAATGTAAAATATTTTAGAAAAAAATATTTATATGGATAACTGTTGATGGAATTTGCAAAAAAATTTATTAATAATTCGACGAGAAAAAAATTTAGTCGACAATTCACTATTAACTTTTAGGAAATTATATATATATATATATATATATATATATCGAAATTGTCGTTATCGCTTAATTATTCTTATTCTAACAACTTTCACCATTATTGGTTAGTCTGACTCCACTGGCTACAAGACGTTTCCAAGCGACGCGATCTGATGCCATCGTCAACAATAATAGAAGCCACTTGTCTTTCCATCGTTTTGAGTCCATGTCTGGTCCATCTATACGTTCAAAATCTTTCCTGACCACGTCTTGCTTGGTCCATCTCGCTTTCGACGCCATCCATCATACGCTTTAGCAAGTAACGAAATATATGTCAACTTTTGTGGCGGGCAGCGAAGAGCGTACTCTAACTAACGAAGGGGACGCTCTGTAATGGTACCGTTAATGCAAGTGGTATTTGAACGAAGGTGGATGCGATTAAATATTCAATATTGTCGAATGCTTGATGGAAAGCTTGCTTTGGAACCGGAATTGGGACAAAGAGCTTGCGAGAAGAAATGAACTAATGCAGAAAGAAGAAGAGAAGAAATGTCTGAATGAATGTATAAATTTATATCAGCGAGGAATTAAAGAAGCGTGGCTCAGCTTATTTGTTGCTATTATTTTGGAGCTCAGATGCTGAAGTTCTATTCCCCGAATAATAATCCCTGCGGCTCAGTTGTGCTTCTATCCATTTGACAAAATTTGCTCGCTTCAACACGCTAACAGTGCAAGTGAAACCAATAATGAACGTTCTTAGAAGAGAAAATAGCAAAAATAAAAATTAAAATTAAAAAAAAAAAATTTTTTTTTTTTGAATGCATAAAACATGAAAAAATAATTTTATCTAAAATTTTTAAAAAAATTTTAAAAATTTTTTTAGAATTGTTTCGTATAATAAAAATTAATTTGTTTCTTTAAAGAATTTTATAAATTAAAAAGAAAAAAACAATTGTTAATTGAATCGCCAATCAACACTTTTAATTAGTTATCAAATTATTACAAAAAAAAAAACTAAAATTTTAATTAAAATTTTCAAATCATTAAAAATATTTTGCCTATTCTTCATTTTGCCTATTCTTTCGTCTAATAGTCTCCATTTTGCTGTTATTCACTATTAGAATGCCAGCGAGTCAGTCACTTGATAATAGGCGTAAGTACATATGGATTACGAGCACAATCTGGATTTCACTTTTAATCGATAAAATTACTCAAGGGAATCGAATCTGTGAAACTTTAGTTAAGATAAAATAACCATAACCATTCGTCCACTCTATCCTTCTAGCAATAATTTATTTCACAATGGCTTAGTAGTAAGATGAAAATCGAGGCTTGGGTTCGAATTCGTCGATGCACCAGTCTTCGTCGAGAGGCAATATTATCCAATTAAGAAAAACGCGGGAACGTAGAATGGTTCAGTGGATTGTTGCTGAATTTGGGGCATCTATGCTAAGGTTCTTCCCAGTAGGAGTAAAAACCTTTCCGAAAAATCCGGGTGATGCTAACAAGTCGTCACCTTTAGTTCTATCACCAAGGGACTTAGTGATTTATTTGTCTAGTGCGACAAGTTAGAGGAGCGAGCCTAACCATTGATGATAAGTACTCTTAAAAAAAGAATTCTAATAAAAAATCTAATTTGATTATTATAAGTTAAATTAGGCTAATTATAGTTTAATAAAATTCATAAACAACAACAAATAATATTGTATTAAAACATTGTTTAAAAATGATAAGCAATCAAAATATCGCTAAACGATAAAAATCGTTTAAAAAAAGTGAGAAATTTTCGTTGCCTTTTTTATAAAATAAGCACGTTAAATTCCCATTTTTTGTTGTTTGAAAAACATTTGAATTGAAAAATGATGAAATATTTTTATAAAAATTTATGCATTATAAATCAACAATTTAAACAATAAAATAAATATTTAATATTTCGAAGAGAAAAAATTTTTTTTTTTTTATAAAATGTGTAAAAATAAAATGAAATCGCATTTAAAGGAATAACAAAAGATTTGTTTGGTTCATTTATGAATGAACTATAATCGCTAATGAATCGCCATTTTTCTTTTTTTGAAATTTCTTGAAATTAACGTTAAAAAATTGAAAAAAAATTTTTTTCATGATGAGCATCAAATAACAAATATTCCAATATACATTTTTCAGACTCGTTTCATTTTTTAATTCAAATGAAATTTTTGATTTTTGATTTGAAATAAAAATTTTAAATTGAAAAATGAAAAAAAAAAACAAATTCCCACCTGTTAGATGAATTTAGTTTTCATCAAGAAAATTGACAATTTTTCGCTTATGAAATGCATTTGATTG